GCCGAGGCGAAGGCAGGGCGCAGGCGGCGGCGGGCGGCATGGAGAGCCTGCTGGAGAATCCGGTGCGTGCCGTGCTCTACCTTAAGGAGCTCACGGCCATCGTGCAGAACCAGCAGAGCCTCATCCACACCCAGCGCCAGCGTATTGATGAGCTGGAGCGGCGGCTGGATGAGCTAAGCGCCGAGAACCGCAGCCTGTGGGAACACCAGCAGCTGCTGCAAGCCCAGCCTCCGCCCGGGCTCGTTCCTCCGTCCCCAGCCCCGCTGCCCGCTATCCCAGTCACCGCCGCCACCGCCACTGCTGTCGCCCAGGAACAGCTCCAGAACCACGGACAGCTCCCGCCCACCTCGCCACAGACTGTACCGGAGCAGCCACCAATTCAGCACCACGGACAGTTCCTGGTGCATCCCTCACCGGGCCACAGCAGCAGGGCGCACGCACCCCAGTCGCCCCACCAGCCCACAGGGGCTCCAGGGGCCGTCGCCAACAAGGAGAAGGAGCGTCCCCCGAGTTGTTGCGCTGCCGCTGGAACCCTCCTTCAGCACAAATCCCCCGCTGCCCTCGGCAAGGGCGTCCTGAGCAGGAGACCTGAGTGAGTGGGGAAGAGGGTTTGCGGACAGTTGAGGTGGGAGAAAGGGAAGCAAATGGGTATGAGGAAGAGCCAAGGGGGAAATGGGCGCACTTAAGAATCTGAAGGACTAAGGTAACGTGAAGTGAAGGGGCGAGAAGATGCCTGAGGGTAAAAGTGTGTCAAGGAGATTTGGGGAAAAGGAGGAAATGATATCAGTGTTTGAGAGGGTTTGGGGGTTGTTGGAGAAAAGGGGAATATCCAAACCATCATTGAGGGCAAAGAAGAAAGAAATTTGGTTTAAGTGATTGGGGATGTTAAAAACTAGCAGTTCTTAACGGGGACAAGATTGAGAGAAAGTTGGGGTGAAGATTAAACTGAAGAAAAGAGAACAGTTGGAGAATGTATTTAACTTAGAAAAATCTTAGAAGAGAGTTTGAGTGGTAAAATTATTTCAATGAATAGTAAGATATGAAAAAGATGGAGGCTTGGCAAACAGGCATGTTAAGGGCATTAAAAAGGCTAGGGTCCAGGAAGAGTAGACTTGGTTCTGAGGAAATTCAGGAGGCAGAGGATAAAGCAGGAATGATGTAAAAAGTCCGGGGAGGGGGGCTGTAGATAGAAGATGAGCTGGCTCTTTAATTGATGCAGTGGGAATCAAAGCCAGGAGTGGCTCATTTGGGGAATCTTACGCTGCTCTGACCTGAGTGACTGCCTTTCTTATGAATCCCCACAGAACTAAAGGGGTGCAAAGTAACAACCCACCAAGCTAATGGAGGACTGAGTTATAGTATGAGGACTCAGTCTGGTTATAGCTTTCCCTCTGACTCAAAGAGGATTTCTGTGCAGGGTGGTTGGCAGTCGTACAAAGGGAACAATGATGAGAGAGACAGTTGCCAAACGGAGTTGGTATTTCAGTGTAATTCCTGTTTAAATCTCTCTGTTAGGTCTAGTGACTGCCAACCTTCTTTCCCTTTGGATTTTTGGTGATAACTGAAATCTCATGTTGAGTTGTGAGAGAAATAGTAACCCCCCACGAGGGACTCTAGGACCTTGAGCTCTTTCTTCACACACAATATCCATAAACTAGGAATATGGAAAGAAGAGATGAAAGGGGACTGGAATATTCTCCCCTGAGTATTGAGAAAGCTGTGATCATGTCAGTTTCCTTTCTCTGATTAGAGGTGATGGGATAGCTGCAGGGAAGAACAGCTCTGGGGAAATCAGCACCTGGTCAGCACCTGATCCTGACAACGATGACGCTAACGGAATTGATTAGGGGAAAGAGGGAAAAGAGCCAAGAATCTCATCTTCATCCAGTCTTGGTGTGCTTTAGATCTGGGGATACTTGTGAAGATTTTTATATATTTCTTAAAAACCCATGTTCTCCTCACATCTACTGTAGGTTAGAAAAGTTGGGTCAGGACATGTTAGCTCACAGGGTAGATTTGACCAAAACCATGAGACTTAAGGGGGAAAGGTCTAGGCCAGTGATGGCGAATCTTTTGAGCTCAGCGTGTCAGCATTTTGAAAAACCCTAACTTAACTCTGGTGCTGTGTCACATATAGAATTTTTTTGATATTTGCAACCATAGTAAAACAAAGACTTATATTTTTGATATTTATTTTATATATTTAAATGCCATTTAACAAAAAAAATCAATCAAAAAAATGAGTTCACGTGTCACCTCTGACACGCATGTCATAGGTTCACCATCACTGGTCTAGGACCATCTGAGTTGGCTGACCTAAAGCATTTGATTTGAGCCCCCAAGAAGATGGTTTTCTTAGCTCCCTCAGTGGTCCAATTGCCCATCCTTCAGTTTCATTGTTTTCTTTCCTTATCTAGCGTAAAAAGCAGAAAGTCAGTTTTCCCTCATGCTCATAGCTAGTTAAAAGGCCCATGATACTATGTGGCTTTCTCCCCAAATAGGGAGATAAAAACTATTTCATTCCCTTTTCCTGAGGGCAGCCATGGCTTCATAAAAATGATGGTTCTTTACCTGATTCCTTTCCTCTTGTTCTTTATTGTCTCCTTCTCTTCCACTGCACCCCACATTGTTTGCATCCCTTCAGGATACTATGTGGGCCAGAGAGGTTGAGAAAAGATCCTTTTTCTTGAATAATAACTTTGCTGTGGCCCCCAAAGTGGCTTAGAGAGCCCCAACTCTCCTGCCCAGGTGCTCTTGCTGGGAATTCAGGGATTTAGGAATCATCTGGATTCCATCCAGCCTCATATGGCAAAACTGGAGAGGAAACATCGTTTTTCCTTCTCCCTTGTCCTGCTTCTGCTTCCCAGGAAAGCAGAACAAAAATAAGAAATAATTAGAGTGGTGGAAGAGAGTAGAGATTGTTGGAAATCTCTCACGTAGGAAGTTGTGCCAGGCACCAAAAGGTTGATATCACTGGTAGCTCCTTCATTTATCCAGATCCTCCAGCTTTTTCTCCTGCTCCCCAAGTCTGAACACCACGAGACTTAGAGAGCTTGGGTATGGACATGCACGGCTCACCTCCTTCCCAAGGCACTCTCTCTTCCATAGATGTGAAATGTTGGCTTGCCGGATGCCTTTGGACCACTCATTTCTCCCCACTGTTTTGCTTCAACCCAAATTTCCCCCACAGGACTTCAGGAAGGGATTATCTTTGTTGACTAGATCTTTGGCCTCAGCCTGCTCTCTACCCATGACACCCTCCTTGTATGTCCGTCCTCCTCTCCATACCTCTCAATGGTGCAGAGCTAGATGCAGCCAGCAGGCAGGGAGATATCTCCATGGATAGAGTTAGGGGAGGAGAAGAGCAGAGCCAGCAGCTCTCTCCCCAATATTTCTCCTAGGGAACTCCCTGCTGAATCAGTTCTCTACTGGGGGTGCTGAAGTAGATGAAGAGATGACAGAGGGAGGGTGTCTTTGGATTGTAATTTTGCTGAACTCTTTTCTAATTTCATACTTTCCCTTCCCTGGCCTCATTATAGTGAAAATGAGGCCCTGGTGAGGTTGCTGAAGGGTAGGCGAGGGTTACGAGGGGCCAAGCACTGTGTTAGATGCGTTATCTCATCATATAGTTGTCTCTTATCCACAGAACTCCTCTTCCTGCCCAAATCCAGGAGAAGCAGGAGCCCTAGGGAACCTGGGACTGGGAAATAATGGATTGTTTAATTGTCATCAGATCTGCATTAATATGCAGCTTGGCCTCGCTCCCTCTTTCAGCTGAGGGAGATAAAATAATGGTGGCCTTGGAAATTAGGCCAAGGAAGTGACATTATGGAGATAAGTGATTGCAGAGACATCATGGAAGAAGAGACTTGAGGGGTTAAAATTCTTTCTTTGCATGTTTCCTGGCTCTTGCTATGCTTCAGCCCCCACTGCTTTTGCCTCTTAATGAAAGCAGCAATCTTAGCTTCCTCCTCTTTATTTTTTCAATCAAGGCTCACTACATCTACAGAATTGATTATGCTCTTCCTGGCTGAAGCCAGAGCCTCAGCCTGACCTGGCAAAGTCTCCTCCTTGCCATGGAAGCATATGGCCCTGCTTGAAGCTACTGGCTTCAGTATGACCACAGTTTCTCTGTTTGAGCACAGGTTTGCCCAGCCATCCAGCTATGCATTTAGAGCACCTCGACCCCAGGGATTGCCAACATACCCAAGCCCATGGGCAGAGGATTTTTGGAGGCTAGGTAAGATCCTTGCATTATAATTCAAATTTAGCTCCTACCCCAAACTCCCCACCTCCAAGTGGCCATGAAGTCTGAACGGCTCAGTAGCGCCTGTCCTCTTTTCTCTTCCTTCCTCCTTAGTCTTTTTTCTATACACTTCTTCCTCACTATCCGCCCATTCTCTTATTTTCTTCTTTCTTCCCCCTTTCTTCCTAGCCCTCACATACTTTCTCTCTCCCATATTTTCTTCTTTCTATATTTTGCTTCTACTTAAGCTGCATAGGGAAGTCTCCCCCTCTCCACTCCCATCCTCTCAGCATAAAATAAATATTGGGTCATCTTTTGAGTTCTTATACCAACTGGAGGCTGGAGGCTGGTTAGAAGATCATTGGAAGTGCTTTTTACCCTGTTATCTAAGGTGCTGGTTGGAGTAGGTGTCTCTGTTTGGAGGTGCAACTCATGACCGACCCATCCTGAGAGCTATTAAAAAAGTATGAAGGTCTGTCAGTCAGTCAACTCTGTTTTATCAATTGTCCAGTTAATTCAAAACCCTGCATTCTGTGCTGTGGAAAGAGGAAATAAGCAAACACTTGTGGTTCAACATGCAGGAGACACATATCTGGAAACCTCCAAACAAATGTAAGCAGATTGCAGCTGCCTAGAGCTACCCTCTATCAGAACAGAATGGTGAAAGGGGTGAGCATACAAATCACATTCAGAGTCCAGAGAGAAGGTTTTATTGGTTGGACTCAAGGGTTTGTGTTAGGAACAGTAAGAGTCAAAGCTAGCTGGATGGAGGACAGGGCCCAGAAGATTCAGTGCATGGAATCACTACCGCATCTGCATATATCCTGTCTTCTGATGACATAGTTCCCCACTACCCTAATCCCCTCCCTCCAGGCAAAACCGTATCCACAGGGTAAGGAAAGCCCTGGGACTCGGGGTCCTTGTCTATAGCATGACAGAAGGCCTGGTTGCTGAGGCCAATGCTCACCAACCTGCCTATCCCCCTTCTCTTCCTCTGTCTGCTGCAAGGAGAGGACTTGTAGCTGGTAAGCTGGAAAATGGGGCCAGAACGAAGGCTCGCTGAGAGGAGGGAGTGTGTGGCTTTTTGCTCACCTGGAAGCTGACATGGAGTGGGCACTTGTAAAGATTTTCTGTCCCCCTCCTTTCCAATGGCCCAGACTGCTACGCTTCCTTCCCATTCAGCCAAAAAGAACACAGTTCAAGAGAAACAAGTCATCCTGCCTTCTGGGAAATGCTGATGGCCTTTCTCCTCCTCACCAGCCCCTTTTGCCTTGCTCTACCCCTACTCTTTCCTTCCTTATTCCTGAGCCCTTCCCAGACCCACATAGTCAACACCGTAGGGCTTC